ACCTGTAGGTGCCCAATTCACCACGGATACCCTCTGTGGCCACATGATTTCACAACCTCAAACAACCCACTTCAGTATGGCCACATAAATTTCGTAAGCCCCAAAGAACCCAACTCCCAGCATGAGTCGGCTTCTTCATAGTAAGCTTGGTAAAATAGATGTGAAGCACTATGTCCAGAATGATCCCAAAATTCACACTAAGCTTGGTAAAATAAATTTAAAGCACTTATTCATGCATATGTACATCTAAATTTCAGAAAATAATAACTATGTTCATGAATATATATATATATACCTATATAATTTCGTACTGTCTATTGATTCATATTTATAATTAAATCCTAGCATTATTCTAGAGATGAACCGAACACGAAATCTAAAAAAATGAATAGAACAAGGACTTGCCTCAAGAATTTTAGCCCAAAAATCCTACGCCCGTCTTCCCCATTTTTCCTTTGACGCCAGCGGCTTTCGGATCGCCGTCGTCTGTCTTTGCGCTCCCAATAACGCCTACAACAGTCGGCCTCACCACTGTCCTCCTTCCTCTCTCTTTCTCTCTTTGTCGCCGGTCTCTGTTCTTATTTTTTATCTTCACTGTTTCGTTGATATAAGAAAACCCATCAACAGACTTATCCTATATATGTATATCTATATTTATGTAATATAATCAAAAGTAATCCTATACTAACTTACGTACCACTAGCCACACCCTATTAAAACCAAAACTAATCATTGAATCTAATAAAGAAAAACTAATAACCAAAAAGTTACTAATGATAACAAAGTCCACTTCCTACTATGCACGTAAATAACCATATGTATATAAGTACATAAATAATATAGTTTAAATATATATATATATATATATATACACACACTAACCATCAACATATATATATATATATATATATATATATATATATATATATCTACCCCTCCATAAAACTAACTAATAAAATAAAATAAAATAACATCAATAAACAATTTACAATTTACTAAAGAATTTCTATTAAATAATTACATTTAAATAAAAAATAAATAAACACTCCACGAACAATTCAATTAGCCAAGTAGAAAAATAAAATAAAATAAACGCTAAAACTTAACATTTAAATGTCAAACAAATAAAACTCTAAAACAAATAATTAACAATTCAAATAGCCATGTAGATAAATAAAATGAAATAAAATAAATAATTAAATCCTTGAAAAATTTAGGTATTATGTATACTCCCATACCTAATCAGTCCAAATCAGAATGCCTTTATTAACGGGTGACACGTCACTGAGAATATTATTCTGGCTCATGAATTGCTAAATGGATACAATAAGGTTAATCATTTTCCTAATTGTGCTCTAAAAATTGACCTTATGAAAGCCTTTGATTTAATTCATTGGCAATTCATCTTTGATTTTTTACACCTCTTTGGTTTTCCATCAGCTTTTGTCCATTGTTTAGCTCAGTGTATCACCACCCCAGTCAATTTTATCTCCCTCAATAGTGAATTGTTTGGATTTTTAAGAGAATGAGGGGCATTAGACAGGGGGATCCTATATCCCTCTTACTTTTTGTCTTTGCAATGGAGGTTCTCACCCTCACAATTAACCCCCAAATCAGTCTGAACCCTAATTTCAAGTACCATTGAAGGTGCAGGAAATTGAGTATTACTCATCTCACATTTGCTGATGACTTATCGATGTTATCTCATGCTAACATTGTTTCAGTCCAAAGTTTGGTGAATGCACTAAATCTGTTTTGCTCCTTCTCTGGTCTGCAACTGAACCCTTCAAAAAGCAAAGCTTTCTTTTCAAGGGTAGATTCTCACAAAAAATCCTTTATTTTATCTCTCTTACAATTTGATTCTGGAACCCTACCTGTAATACACTTGGGAATGCCACTCTCTGCTGCATTAATATGAGCCAGGGACTGCCAATCACTAAAAGAATTGGAAGCTGGACTTTAAAATTTTTCTCTTATACTGGGAGAGCAGTCTTGATCAATTCAGTGCTGTGTTCTATACAAGCATATTGGTCTCAGGCATTTGTGTTACCTAAGAAGGTCTTTGATGAAATAAACAGAATTCTCAGGAGCTTCTATTGGTCTGAGGTTGAGATGAAGAAAAGTGGAGTTAAAGTTGCCTGGAATGTTGTGTGTAGACCTAAAATATTTGGGGGATTGGGATTTCCTGATCTTGAGCTCTCAAATAGGATTGCTAACCTTAAACACTTGTAGAAATTATGTAAGGAAGAAAAATCTTTGGGTGGCTTGATCCTATGGCTATCGTATCAAGGAGAGGAGTTTTTGGTTAATAAGGCCAACTACACTCAGCTTTGGTTTTTGGTGGAACTTGTTGAAACTCAGAGAAATGGCTAGAAACATAATCTTTTATAAGGTTAGTTGTGGCCGGTAAGGACACAAATCATTTGCTGGATTTTTAGTTACCAAATGGCCTTATTGTAAAGCAGCTAGGATTAAATGACTTGAAAATTCTTCAACTGGACTCTTTAGCCATAGTTGACAGCCTAATTTCCAATGGTCATTGGATGGTACCACTGTCTCTAAACTACCTTCAATTCTTCCAATCCTTAAATTTTTTATCTCAACTTTACTCTATCCAACCAACCTCTGAACAAAGTGATTACATTATGTAGATGCTTAGCTCATCTGGTGCTTACTCATTCTCCCAAACCATTGCCTACTTTGCTCTTCCTTCCCCATCTTTTATTTAGCACAAGTTAATTTGGTTCAAATATCACATTCCTAAACACAGTTGCATTGCTTGGCTTGCAGTTAGAGGTAGGCTCTATACATTGGACTCAAAACCTATGCTCCATAAGCACTATGTTAACAGATAGATGTTATCTTTGTCTGGCTGAGAATGAATCACTGGATCATTTGTTCTTCAGATGTAGTTTTAGTTCACGAGATTGGAATGTTATACAAGAGGTTGCAGGCTTCTATATTCTTCCCAACTGCTAGAATGAACTGATCTGTTAGTGCTCAATACATTGGTCTTCTGGAAGATTTCTGGTTCACAAACTTTTGTTGTCAGCAACAATTTATTATCTTTGGCTAGAGAGAAATGTAAGAGCCTTCAGAAACACATACACTAACCTTAATCACATCTTCTCCCAAGTCAAGTCCTGTGTCAGAGCTAAGCTTGTAGCAATCAAGCTGAAAAGTTGTGCTGACCTAAAGAGTATTTCAACTGAGGAAGAGCTTCACAGCTTGTTTGTACAAACTTGTGCAACAACATATGGACACTCTTGGTTAATTACATAAAGCTGATATTAAAGGTTATTGAGAAATTAGATGATTCAGTATGTTGTGATTGGAGGGTTTGGAAGGTCGAAGTTGCACATTGGGACAGTCACTTTGCTTTTGTTGCACTATCAAAAAGTTTTAGTAGCTGCCATATTTCAATGGTTGTTGTGTTTTTGTTAATGGCCTCTGCCTAATGTTGTCTTAGTTTGTTAATGGCCTCGGCCTTAATGTTGTATTATTTTGCTCTTTTCCCTCCTATATAAGGGCACCATGTAATTATTATGATTATCAATACAAGCTTACCCTTAACTAAAATAAAAAATAAATAAATAAACATGAGAATAGTTTTGAGAATCTTATATTTTGAGATGCTGTATAACACACCATTAGAGTGTATAAAAAAAATAACGTTTCTTATATTTTGAGTTTGAAAGAGGGTTGGAGACGCTCTAAAGAGATGGTAGTTAAATTGGCTAGCCTATTAGCCACATTACCAAAGGGCCTCTATTCTAAATACGAACTCCTCTTATAGAAAGAAAAAATAAAGAAAAAATGAAGAGTTTGAATCCCATTAGAGACATACTGTAAATAATGGATATATATTTACTTTTAACTTATAAAAATATAAATATATATAAAAAATAAAAAAATAAAAAAAAAAAATTCGCTACGTACGTGATTCAAATTGTCGGTGTTGAAAGCTTTTAGTAGTACCATCAAGCACGTGCTTATATCTTCTGTTTAATTTTTTTTTTTTTTTTTTTTTACTCTCTCTCTCTCTCTCTCTCTCTCTATATGTATATATATATATATTTATTTATTTATTTATTTTCAGGTTGAGGTAGTCAAAAGAATAAATTGGGCTGCTTAATTTGAGTTGCATATCAACAATTTGATAATGAGGGTAATTTTCTTGCTATATATAATAGATAGAATAGTTCAATGAAGAAGATTAAAGTCTTTACACAAGTCCGTAAGTTATACTAGAATCTAGCACAGGAAATTGTTTATTGTCAAACAATTACATGAACATATAGTACCAAGGCCTTAATTTCCATAGGAGCTAGTCTCTCAAAGAGTATTGTGGGAATTTTGCTAGGACACAAATAAATTTAATAAAAAATAAACACCCTCAGCAAGTAAAAAGGAAAAAAAAATGCAATAATCAACAGCACACACATAACCTGAAATTAAGAAAATTAATATTTAGGGTTTCATGGATGGATATATATGAAATCAGTGAATGGCATCCCAAAATAAGGCCAAGCAAGATCAAAGGGTAAAAACAAGAGGGATACTTTTATATATAATGAAAAATACTAGTAGTGAAAGCAAATTAGAGATAGAGGGAGATGAAAAATCACTCTTTAAACTTGGTATACATGGCATGTTTTGTTACTTATATTTATGTCTTGTTTCTGCAATATATGTAAATAGGACCCGTAAGAAAGGACTTCTAAAGAGAATGTAGTTATGTTGGCCACGTTAAAAAAGTGCCTCGATTCAGTTCAATGTATGATCTCTCCTCTTCATATAAAAGGGGAAATTAAGTTGAGTCTCTCACTAGGGACATGTACGTTATGGATAATGGCTCTTTGTTTGCTTTAACAGCTAATATCTATATCTATCTATATGTATGTGTATTTATTTTCAGGTTGAGGTAACCAAACGAATAAATTTGGCTACTTAATGAGTTCAATTTTCTTGCTGACATATACAGAGAGAGAGAGTTCAAGGAAGAAAATTAAAGTAATTAAAGCATGTATAAAGGCAAGTTGTACGTAGAATCAAGCACATCAAATTGTTTATATGCAAACAAATTAGAAGAACACACCAACAATGCCTTAATTTCCATCTCTTCAGCTTTCACAATGAAAGTTGGAGAGGTAGAGCCTCCCCAACAGTATTGTGAGTTTTTTTTTGCCAGGACAACAAAATAAAAAATACATTAACAACACTCTCAGACAAGTAAAAATAGAAAATTACAACAACTGATAACACACACGATTTTAATTAAGCAAGCTATATATAGTCAACCAGATGACCTGAATGAAAATTAAAATTTAGGGTTTCTTGGATGGATCGGATGAGATGAGATCACTGAATGGCTTCCCAACCAACCATTTTGTATCGCATCTGGAAGTAGCGAGCAGGGTTATACCTGCCAATGGGCATCCTGATGAAGATGTATACTTCTCGAAAGAAAAAATATGTCCCCAATAGATAGGAAAGGAATGGCAATGGTACTGTAATATAAGCACCGAGTGTGTTTGGTGTTGTGAAAAGCACTGAAATGATATAGCTCAAGACGAGGAATAAGAGGCATAGTCTCAGCAGCAGAAACTGAAGCCTAATTTGGAGGGTGAGAACAATAATTCCAACTGAAGTTGCAAATGCTGTGGAGTTAATGAACAAAAGACAATAGTAAAAAAATGTAGGCACATCTAGTGACTCCTTTCCATTTATTTCCTTGAATATACCACTAGGAGGGTTCACTGCAACTTGGTAGGTGGCTGTTGCAACAAGTGTAGCTACCACTAGTACTGTGTTTCGCAGATCATCAGACATCTTCTTCATGTTAAAGAAATCGGAGTCCTTTTTTGTCGTTACAAAGTCTGCCAAATCCTTTTCACTAGTTGAATTAGGACTCCATGCCCTAGTAAATGCGCTTGAAGCTCCTGCTAACATTTTTTTGATCTCTACATTACTAGTTAAAGCAAGAGCTGTCGAACCTTGCATATTCTTGTCACCTATTATCTTCACCTGTTTAAGCAACATCTTAACAACCTGCACATCAAATATATAAATCAATTTGCATATATGTGAAAAAATATATATAAACACACACACACACTATATATATACATATATATATATATGTTAGAAAGCAAGAGCAGTAACAACAGCTAGCATGCCTGAGATTGATTAGTGTACGCTGCAATGTGCAATGCTGTGTTGCCATCCTCGTCCTTCCATTGTAGCACTGCTTCATTGTCTGTCTTATCAATCCATCCGTAGAGGACTTTAAAAGCTTCAAAATTTTGGCTTCTCACGGCAATATGCACAGCAGTCTCACCTCGATTTGTCAAATCTTGCACGGATTCTGGACAAGCACATAGAAATTCAGCCAAAAGACGGATTTGGTTCTTTTCAGCTACATAATGCAACGGAGTGATTCTGTCCTTCCCTTGGACACGGATGAGATTGCTGTTAATATTTATGAGCCTTAACACTGTCTCGTAATGCCCATTTTGCAGAGCCAGGTGCAAGGGGCTTAGTCCATCTGGATTTAGCTTCTGACCAAATGATGGCTTTAAGCTAATCATTTCAACTGCGAAATGTGTATGCCCAGCCCATGCAGCTACGTGTAGAGGAGTATCAACCATTGAAATCTTCTTATCAATGTTATCCATGTTATCCAATATTTCTGGACTTTCTCGAAACAGCCTATACAATGCATTGACGTCTCCTGTATCAGCAACTACCTTCAACCTCGGATTCATGCCGACCTATATATATGGTAGGAGAGTGCATCATATATATATATATATATATGCAGCTAAATTAATTATGGGTATGTATTTATTCCTTGATGTTCAACTAGCTAGCATAATATGTTATTGGATAGTGCATGTTGAGAAAATTTTAAAATTAGTTAATAATACTTTGTGTTAATTTAATAGAACTGAATCAAATTTCAACTCAATCACCACAGTCAAATAATAAATAAAACAACAAGAACAAGCTAGAAAAAGACGTCAAAAACTTCCATCCTCTAGGTACATATTTGCAAATATTAACAATCATTATATATATGTTGGATTATTCTAGAAACATTATCAACAAATTAAGAAACAGTTCAAGTCTCATCCAAGTATGAGTAAATGAGAGGACAAACATACCAAAATGAGTTATCTTTGGAAGAAGTACTTAAACCAACGATTTGAAAGAGACACACAACTACTGAAACTCCAAGTTGTGAATTTATAAACTTCCGAAATTTTAAACAAAACAAGAGAAATCTATATATATATATATATCATCTGACAGAAAGAATCATTTTTTTCCATATCTTTTTCTTTTTGCTAAATTCCCATATCCTTTTCACCTATCTTATCACACACGTACAATTCTTTCTCATGCCATTGCCGACAATGTATCGCCTTAATTTGTGGTGGTGATGATATATGTGTGATGACGAATCCTTGGTAGGCCCTCTTGTCGTTAATGGGTTGCGCTTTGAAAGTCCTTTCCTTGGGCCTAAAGGCTCTAGTCATCTTCCTCTTCACATATACTTCATGCGCATGTTTCACGATGTTACGCCAGGGATTTCTTCGGCGACAGAGTGGTTACAACTGGTGATTTGGATGTAAGGACCCATTGATTATTTGATTGTCCTGTGTTCAGAGTTTTAATATGATAATAGTGTGTGTATATATTCAAGGTAATTTTATAATAGGATAAAGTGCAAATAAATTTCCTCAAACTATGTTTGAATTTGCAAATAAACCTCTTGAACTATATTTTGTGCATAAAGCCCCCTAAACTATCTCATTTTATTGCAACATATCAAGGACTATACTATATTTCATAAAATGACCATAATGCCCCTTCATATTGAATTACATTTAATATATTTTTCTTATCTAACTATGAAAAATTCATACTAATTTGATGAGATATTTTTCATTAAATTTGTATAAATTTACCTTTAATTTTTTTAATTAATTATTTAAATAAAAAATTTTAGTAGAAATTTTTTTAAAAAATTAATTAATTTTTAATGAATATATTACATGAAAAGAAGGTATTTTTTTTTCACAAGTATTTTACTAATTTTTCATCAATATATTGTATGAAAAAAATGAATTTTTTTTACGATAAACATGTTTAAATTGTTATAATACGTTTTGTTATAAATAATAAAGTTTTAATAATAAGTTAATCAATTTAGAAAATCGTAGTTACAAATCTATTTATCTATTTTTTTTATTTTTATGATAAATTGATACTAAAAATAAAATTAAGATAAATAGTATGTTAGTATTTACATAAGGGAAAAGATAATAAAAATAATTTAATAAGAAATAAAAATTTTAATGAGAAAGGGTAAAATAATCTTTTGTAATGAAATTGTCCTTAATTGCAACAAATCAATAGTTGAAGGGCGCGGTATTTAATTCAAGGGGGTTATTTGCAAAAGGACAATAGTTTAGGGTTTTTTTTTTGCACTAAACACATGATAATAGTATATTGTAAAAGGGCAATGATAAGATAACCTACACTCAACTAATTTGGCGTCTCTCACAGGAGTATGTGTCTCATCATCTATAGTGGACACCCGAACTAGTACCGTGTCTCATATGGATGTGGGTCCCAACACAACTATTGTGGTGGTGCCGAAATTCCAGTGAGACACCTACTATAATGGTTGGGTGTAGTAAATTTTGGAATTACCGTAAAATGAATCTATCGAATCGACTAGTACCGTGTCTCATATGGATGTGGGTCCCAACACAACTATTATGATGGTACCGAAATTCCAGTGAGACACCTACTATAATGGTTGGCTGTAGTCAATTTTGGAATTATTGTAGAATGAATCTATTTTTTTTAGCAAGTGTATCGGTCACACAATACACGCACTATTCAAATTAAAAGTGCAATTAGAAAGCTAGATCTCAATGAGTCCTGCATTCCTGTCAACGCCGCTATGTTCCTGAGGACGTAAAATGTATATAATTCAAAGAGTCAATTTTTTTTTTTTTTTTTTTTTTTTTTTTTAGAGTAAATTACACTCAGACCCCCTGTGATTAGGTCATATCTCACCTAGCTAGATTAACATTTTGGTTTTAGAATTCACTTATATTTGAATTAGTGGTTTAACATTTCACTTACACTTTAATGGTCAAATTTTAATGAAATCAGAGTACTTTTGAGGTGTTACATGACTATACTACCTTTGACCTAATATTAACTTTTTTGTGACCAAACTACCCCATCACAATCACCATTTTTCTCTTTCCTCAATCCTTGTCTTTTTTATTCGATTTAGGTTTTTTTTCCCATTTCCACCAAATCACACACACACATATATGACCCCCACCATATACCGCCCCCGCTGGCCCGCTGCATCACAGCTTCACCACCCACAGCCACATCCATCATCACCCCCTACCACCACCACCAAATTGACACCAAATCAAACTAAATAATTACCTTTTGAAAAACAAATTGACACGACCCACAACCACCACCAAGCCTTTATATTCGTCCCTATCACAATATAGCTTCCCCCACAGAGAACCCAAGACCTAAAATAGAGCTCCGATGCCGTCATCACTGATTGCTCTGACTAGGCGCCGACACTAGGAGCTCGTCGTTGCTTAGGAACACGCCAATATGAACTGGGTTTTGCTACTTAGAGCTCGCCGGAATTAAGTTTGGTTTCGCAGACACTAGGAGCTTGCCAGAATTGGGTCAGTTCAGTTATGTCGTTCGTCACCGGAGATGAATTGGGTTTCACTACTTGGGGCTTCACTAGGATCACAATCGACTTCGAGGCTGTAATCCTGCAATCCGAATTGAGTTTAGTTTCGCCGACTTCAAGGATCACAATCGAAATTGTTTGGTTTCGCCGATATGAAATGGGTTTCGCAAGTTAGAGCACGAGACGAGGATTTTTGCCTCCGATTACGATACCGTCGAGGCTGTAAGCCTGTAATTTGACATCCCGCCACCAAGATATATTGATTGGGCCACCGTAGAGGTTGTAATCCGACACCCGCAGCCGATATCAACTTGTTCTTTAGCGTCGTCTTCAGCAATCGACTTCGCCTTCGATTCTTTACCATCGACGTCCATTTCGACAGTGGGTGGGATGCGATTTTGTGTATTTTTAGGTTTGGTTTTAGGTGGGTGGTGGTGATGAGGTGTTGGGTGTGTGAAGAGTTTCTGGGAAAAGTATGTGGTTATGCCTTTTTCCTTAAGAAGGATAGATTTTGAGGACGAAATCTCTTTAAGGAGGGTAGATTGTAACATTTCCGATTTTCGCCATTTTTCTTTTCCGGAATTTTATCGCCGCAAAGGCATTTTCGTCTTTTCACATTTTTCATGCCGGACATTGTGGAGTGTACCGATTTGTGTCTTAGAATTTGTTTGGGGCATTTCATTGAGTCCAGGACTCTTTGAAATGTAGGGGTGACCATTCTTGTTTTTTTTTAGTTTTTCGAGCCGGACAGTCCCGTGTGGGACCTGCTACCAGAATTGTCAAGCATAGGGATTTTAATTGAGTCCATTTGCATCATATGCATTTTTATTGGTGTAATTTTTATGTGGATGTAAGTTATTATATGTGTAAATGCATTGTGTGGTGTGAATAAATGGTGAAAGAAAAAGAAAAAAGAAATGAAAATAGGTGGGACCCCCATTAAACCACTTAGGGCCATTCCTCATCTCTATCCTGCTGGTTTTCTCTCTCACTCTCTTGTTTTCTTTTATTTTTTCTTCTCTCATTCAATCTTTGAAGCTTGGTAACTTCCTCATTACTTGGTGGATTAAGGTGCCGTTTGAGGAAAACCGAAGAGCACGATGAACTCTACGCGTATGTACCAGCAAATTCAGATTTGGTGCCTCCGAGGGATTTCGAAATTTAGTGGTTCATTTTGAGGGTTTTGCTCCAATTTGAGGTAGGGGTTTCCTAATTCACATTATTCATGCACCTTTGTGAGTTAATCTACATGAATTGTGTTATAACATGCTTATTTGCGTTAATTATAGCCTAAATTGTCTTGATTGTATATATATGAATATATGAAGACTTGTCTTGATTGTGTTATATGAGAAGCATGCTTATATTGTGAGTTATGCCTATTGTATTGTTCACATGCTATGAATGGTGTATGAAAGCATACCCTATTGTATTTTGTGATAATCCATTAATATTTAAATATTAAAAGTATGAGAACATGCTTACTTGTGTTGTGTCAAATTCCTCATTTCCATAGTATTGAGATCATGTGACATGCATGTACACCATTGGGTTACATGATGGGAAGAAATTGTTTTTGAAATGAAAATGGGGAGTTTTGGGAAAAAAATGTTTGATGAAAGTGTTTTGATAACCTAGAGGGAATTAGGGAGATAACCCTAGCATGGTTGAGCTATTTGGGCCCCACGATGACGCTGCGGAGTCACAAATGGTCTAGGGACAGTAGCTAATCCTTCCCTCAGCGCTGAGGAGGTACCAAAGGGGGTTACATTAATAGATTGAAAGTGATGATTCTGATTGTGAAAATAAGGAGCGACATCGGCATGCATTGCATCTCCATAGCATCTTATTATTTGTGTTAAGAATGATAACCATATTGTATTCTCCCCTATGTTGTATGACCCCAACTCCTATTAGCCTATTCTTTGTTTTGGATTCATGAGGTCTCATGATGTGCGTCTTAGGCGCCACTTACTGAGCAAATTGCTCACCCCACCATATTATTATATTTTCAGGTCATAGCAAGGAAATGGCGGATGAGAATCCTCCGCAAACTTGAAAGTTGTTAGAAGATGATTTTTTACTATTTTGTATTTGGCCATTTCATGTATAATTATAGTTTTGGAAATGTAATTGAATTTGTATTTATGGTTTTTGGGATAATGTAATAAAGTTTTACTCACTTAAAATCAGTTTGTGTAATTTAAGTAACGTGTGGTGATTTATGTTTTAATGGTTGTTGTATTTTTATTTAATGTTATAATGTGAATAAAATTACACGTGAGTGTAGTGGCGTGGGTGGTTGAATTACCAATGTTGGTGTATTTGGGTTATCACTGGACAGTGGAAAAAGAAGTGAGAGTTCCCAGAACCGGTCGACGTGTGGCTTCCCAAACATCGACTGGTATCTTCACAGTATGGGTCATTGTGGCTCACGTTGCAAACCAGTTGACGTATGGCTTCTCATACGTCAGTCGGTATCATGTCCCAAACTAGTCGACATATGGCTTCCCATACGTCGACC